TGGAAGGCGTGCGACCGTTTCTACTGTACGGTCGCACGTCTTCCGTCGAACCAGCAGGCTATAAAACCCGCCGGGAATCGTACGATTCTCGGCGAGTTAGTGGCCTGCTGGTTCGACAACTGCCGAATGGGCTGGTGTGCGCACGCGCACACAGCCCGTTTGCAGTCATCTTAAGCCCGCCCCTCATTGCAGTCATTGTAAGCCCGCCCCTCAGGGCAGATCGTACGTTTTTTTAATCACTTTACACTTTACACTTTACACTTTACAACCATCGCAAGACTAAGGTCTTGTGATGGTTGTACAGTGTATGGTCACCTTTAGGCACAGGGGAGTTTCTTTGTTAAGGTGAAGGTTTTTGTGTTAACCCTTTAGTGTATGGATTTTTCCTGCCTTCCGATTGTTTTCTGTAGGTGAAAGTCCCTGATAAAAGCAAAGTTCTGCCGAAGAAAAAAAATGTGCGTGTGTGGTTCAAGCTTAGAAGACTCGCACCTTAAATCTTTGTCAAGCCTGCACAGATGGTTTTCTTAAGTAACAAGCCGTAAAAGCTTGTAGCAACCTACTTTCTACTGTCAAAGAAGAACGTTCTGTTACTTTTCAGTAATGCAGTTCATTATGGGAAAACTTGAGCACTATTGTACACACTCCCTTTGTGCCTACATCTTCCAGCTGCTTACCCCTATCCACAGAGGTTATATCTAATTAAAACTTCTGAGCCAGAGGAGCTCAGTGAAGCTGGTCAATCAAACCTGTATTCTTCTCTGGAGGAGGAGAGCCTGGATGAGGTTTCTGGGGGTTCAAAGTATAAGTTATACCTGGAGGATATAGATGACCTTCTACGGGCAATTTATGAAACCTTAGACATACAGGAGGAAAAAGTCTTTGTCTAGACATGATCTCATGTACCAAGGTTTGGAGAAAAAGAAAATAGTTTTTCCAGTTCATAAGACACTGTCTGATACTGTGTTAAAAGAGTGGGAAGATCCAGAAAGGAAACCTTTTTTTCTCTAATTCACTTAAAAGATGATTTCCTTTTGATGATAATGTGTCAGCAGTATGGAACAAGGTTCCTAAGCTGGATGCCGCTATTTCAAAGATATCTAAGAAAGCTGACCTCAAATTTGAAGACATGGGTAACTTAAAAGATGCCATGGATAGGAAAATGGAGGTACTCCTTAGGTGAGCCTGGGATTCCACTTTATGCAATCTTAAGCCCACTTTAGCAACCACATGTGTCGCAAGAAATCTTGGTTGGCTCAATTGAAGGCTCATCTGATGGCAGGTACACCTAGAGACTAGATTTTAGAGTCCTTTTCCGTAATTTTGAAAGCCCTGGGCTATACTGCTGATGCTTTGTCAGAATCAGTAAAGCCTTCAGCATGCTCTTCTGTCCTTATTAATGCTTCTAGACGTGTCCTGTGGCTTAAATCATGGGATGGGGACTCTGCTTCAAAATTAAGATTATGCAATTTACCTTTCTTAGGAGACAGCCTCTTTGGCCCTGACTTAGAGGCCACTTTAGAGCATTCAGCAGACCGGAAGAAAGCCTTCCCGGTCGAAAGTAAAAAGCCTTTTAATAGAAGGTTTTTGTGGCCCAAGATTTCACCCTCAAGACGACAAGGAAAGGGGGTCAGGCCACAAGGGGTAGGGAAGGAGTGGCATCCTGTTTAACCCGCCTTCTTGGAACACCCAGCAGCAGTGACTCCCTTCCTCCAGTGGGAGGAAGATTGGGGAGTTTCCACTCAGTGGAGGCAAGTTGCATCCAGTCCTTTCATCAGGAGCATTATACAGGAGGGATACAAACTGGAGTTCGATTCCCCTCTTCCCCGAAGATTTTTGATTACCAATCTTTTGAAGGATCTCTTCAAGGCTTCAGCTCTCTGCATTCTAGTGGGGGGATCTGGTAGATCAAAAAGTCATCTTACCTGTCTCATGTTTTTGTAGTCTAGAAACCGTTCAGACTAAACCCGAATCTCAAAATCTTTGAGGTTTGTTACAAGAGGTTCAGAATGGATTCAATTTTCTTCTGTCAGAAATATTCTCCAAGAGGGAGTGTTTCTGGTTACACTGGATTTAAAGGATGCTTACTTGCGCATCCCAATAAATGTTGCCTTACAAGTTTTCCTGAGGTTAGCAGTAAGGATGGGGAAGCAAGTATGGGATTTTCCTCGCATCTTTACGGTTGTCCTAGGGGAAGCCCTAGCCCCTCTAAGGTTACAGGGCATCAACATAATTCCTTATCTAGAGGATATCCTATTTGCACCTTCTCCCCAGATACTTCTTGTTCATCTGGCACGCACAACTGATTGGCTACAGAATCTGGGATGGCTCATAAATGACCAGAAATCGAATTTCATTCCTTCCCAGGTTTTAACTTTCCTGGGCTATGTTATAAACACAGTGGAGAAGAAAGTCTATCTTCCCCCAGAGAAAATACAAAGAGTCTCAGACTTTGTTCTCCATCTGCAAGGGAACCAAGCAAGGTCAATATGGTTTATCATGTCGGTACTGGGGCAGATGACTTCATGCTTTCCAGCTGTGCCTTGGGCCTGCTTCCACCAACGGAGGTTACAGAATTTTCTCTTGGAGGCTTGGAACAGATATGTGGTTTCAAGTTCCAACGAGTGTGAAAATATGTTTTTGGTGGTGGAGGCCCGGAAATTCATCTCTCTCATGGCCTTCAGTGGATTTTTTCTGTTAAAGAGGTTAACCAACGATGCCAGCTCCTGTGGCTGGGGAGCTCACCTGGAAGACACCATGGCTCAGAGACAATGGGACAGAAAATAGGCAAAAGCCTCTTCAAATTGGAAGTAATTAAGGGCTGTACAGAAAGCCCTCCTAACGTTTCATGACTCGATCAAGGGTTGTCACCTGCAGGTCTTTTTTTAGACAATTCCACCTCCGTTTTTTACCTCAACGAACAGAGCGGCACAAAAAGCCCAGCTCTTCAGACCTTATTAGAGGAAATTTTCTCCTGGGCAGAAAGTCACCTGTTATGCTTAACAGCGGTACATTTGAGGGGTGAACAACCTAGCAGATATTTTGAGTCCACCAGATTCAAGAGGAGGAATGGTGTCTGAATCAGAAAGTTTTCTTTCTTCTGGTAGAAAAGTGGGGGATGCCACAAATATATCTTTGCCTCCCATCTAAATGCAAAGGTGCAAAAATTCTTCTCCCTAACACCACAGAATGCTCTGGCACTGGATGCATTAACAAATGTCTGGGACTTAAAACTAGCATATGCCTTTCTCCCTATACACCTGTTGCCGAGAGTATTGCAAACGTTTTGCCAGGAGAAAAAAGATCTTATTCTGATAGCCCCTTTTTGGCCCAAAAGAGCCTGGTTCTTCCTACTTCAGTCCCTGGCGCCTCACCCTCCTTGGAGGTTACCATGCAGGGCAGATATAGTCCACCAAGGGTCCCTCGTTCATCCAAAATTGCAGAATTTGCAGCTTTCAGCGCGGTATCTTAAGAAGACATTTTAAAAGCAAAGGGAGGGGGGAAAGCTTTCTTCCAGAGTAATTTAACACTTTGCTCAACAGTAGAAAGTCAATAACCAGAAGCATTTACAGGAAAGTTTGGAAAAAAATGTACTCTTGGCTTCTATCCTCAGAGTTCTCTGCTTCATCAGCTTCTTCAGGGGGGTCCTAGGTGACATTAGGGGTCTTGGAGACCCCTGATGTCTCCATAAAGAGGACCTGTCTCTTCTTTTGCTATCACATAAGGAGGTTTCTTAGCCCCCTATCTGATGGCAATAAAGTTAAGTGAAACAAAAATAGGAGAAAAAAAATAGTTTCCCAAATTTTTTTTAAAGTTACACATAAAAAATATTATTTTTTTTTAAAGTCCCACCCATACATACACGCATGCAAACATGCGTCAGGTGCGCATACCTGCGAAAACGACGATTGAGCCCAATGAGGGCAATAATTTTAGGGCCATCAATCACCGATTAACAATAAACTGATGAGCTGTAAGAGCTTTTAAAGCGTCGCCTATGGTCAATTTTGGGTATGGTAGTTTTTTGCGATTTCGCGGGTGCGCGCAATTTTTAAGCTTGACATGTTTGGTGTCTATTTACCCGACGTGACCCCGTCTTTTATATTTTATGAAAATAATTGGGTAATAATAATTGTTTCCCAACATAATGTAAAAACTTTTTTTCCCCAAAATTTTCAGTAATTTTTCCTAAATATAGTAAACTATAAAACCCGCGGTGGTGATTAAATACCACCAAAAGAAAGCTCTATCTGTCCCCAAAAAAGGGTATAAAATTAATTTCAGTACAACGTTGCATGACGGAATAAATGTCAGTCAAAGTACCGCAGCGCTGAATACTGAAAAATGGCCTGGCCAGGAAGGGGGTCTAAACACCTGGTCTTCAAGTGGTTAAGTGAACGCAGGGAAAGTTTTCGCAGCGAGTACAAAAAAATCCTATTTTTTTTTTTACATTTCTTTTACTTAACCTGTAAAATCAGTTCCTTGGAGTACAGTACATGACACAGGCCCCTCCCTTCTATGCCCTCTATCGCTTCCTAAAAACTGAGGATTCTTAGGATTGGGAGGGGTGTTTGAAGGTCCTCACAGCTCTGTCCAGTGCCCACTCACCTAAAGGAACCTAATTTTTACTAGTAAGTCAAAAATATTTATTTTGTGCCCTATTCACATAGCACAGGTGTGTTGTGGTGCATTCTTTAAAAATTAGCCTGTCTGCATTTTTACACATAGCACAATGTGTTACAACACTCAGCACATTGCAACACTCTGGTATAAATAGTTAATGAAATGTTTGTTACCTTTTTAGTTTGTAAAAGAAAAACTGCATAATCTGTTATAACGCATAACAGAGCGGGTGCACGACTCACACCAGCATGATGTAAGCCTGCAGGTGGGAACAAAACCCAAATGATTGAACTATGTTTTTAAAATGGACTATATTGGTATAAAAAAAAATTTACACTTTCATAAATAGCATAATGCAGAACCATTTGTTTTTTCCCCAGCTTTTGATGAACTTGTGGATGCCTATGCAGATCAGGCCAGAGGTCTTCTGGATGGTGGTGTTGACATTTTGCTGGTAGAGACTGTTTTTGATACAGCGAATGCTAAAGTAAGTAACGGTAATAACAATCATTAGTTTTTAGCCTCTTTCTTTTTCAAGTTCAGACATTTCAAGTTCAAGTAAGCTCCATACATTTTTTTTTAAAACGCAAAGGCTGTGATAAGATACTGGGCAAAATTATGCTTTGTACGCCTATACATTTATACATTATTGCAAAGTGTGTCTATGGAGTGACAGTAATACACGATTCAGTTAAGACCTTCTGGTATGACTTAATGGATTACACTTCCATGTACTGTAAAGGATAAAGCACCCAAAAATGTTTTAAACATTTCAAAATCATCTTTTTATAAAAATAAAAAAAAACCTCACAAAGCAACCACCGCTCATATACCTTGCCCTGTGGTCACACAACCCCATCCCTTTTGTTCGTGCAGGCAAGAAAGCACACGGCAGCTTGATACTGGTTTTCGCTGAAACAATTGCTGCACAATTGACTGGTATTGCGAGCTGGACAATGTTTATTCCCGAAGTCAAAACATGCTGTAAACAAACACATGCTCCTCCAACTCTAACATGTTTCACCAAACTGCTTATTCATAGAGATGAAGAAAGATTACAAAGAAAACATTTAAATAGTTACAGTTCCCCTAGTCACATATGTAACTAATGAATAGCCTCCCCTCCCTGTCTCTGATCATTTACATGCATTTGCGTGTATGT